CTCCGGAAAATATCATTCTATAGAAGCTCAATTCATTATGGAGAAGTTGGTGGTAGATATAGTTTGGATCTGGAATATGACACCGTACATTCTAGACTTACATAGTAAATTCTGGAGTATGGTAGTCGAAACCGTACATATAGAACTGACATTATGAAAACACACACCGGACACTAAAAAACTAGTTTTTCATTTTCTATACAACATGTAGTATTCCATTTAGTTATTCACTTAAAACCGGAATCCAAAATTCTCTATTATAACTGCTTGAAGATGAGTTTCTCAGACAACTACCATGAAGAAAGTTTTACCAACTTGCCTGTTTATATGTACAACCTTGGACGAATGAACCCTCATAGTTATACAAACATCAAAATTGATGTTATGGATCGTTTGCAGCTCCATTTTGTGGCAATTGGATGTGTGGTAAAATAATTTTGTTCCAATTTATAATTGTTTATTTAAAATTTATAATGTTTTTACAACTAATTGTTTTGTTATCACAAAAAAATGCAGCTTCATGCATTCATAAGTTGTTTGATGTTTGTCATCTTTATATGTAGTGTCCCTCTAACAGGGGATTACCTACAATGTTCATAGAGGTTGTTATGGACGAAAACAACTAGACCATGTCAATAGAATTTTGTCTGGGCGTGGAAAATAATGTTGACTCTTGCACCTAGTTCCTGATGAGGTTGAAGGAAGCTCTTGGGGATGCTAGGGAAGCATAACCAATATGGAAGACGTCATAACTTCTTCCCTAGGTCAGGTATTCCATTATTCTTATCATGAGTATTGTTGTAAGAGTGTGGCATCGCATATGCATACAAGAGTTAGTTGAAACGGAACATTCGAACCTTTGTTCTGGCGTACATGAAAATCATATACTATGTCTGATTTTAAAGAAACATTTTGCCGGCTAATCCAGGTTACATGTGAGGTGCTTGCCAACATCGGTCATGTGAAATGGGCAATACTCTATTTCTCTAACATCCGTTGGAATGTACTCAACATGGATATTCTATAATTCCTCCTGGTGTTATCGGTTAATAAAAACAATGTACCAATAATAACGCTTATTGGGGTGAATCGCCACGCATGTTTATGTAGGAAATGAAGAACGCTCGGTATAATGTGTGGTCATGATATTGCGGCATCACGTTATTCTACCATCACATATTTTTACCATATGGTTCAGATATATTACCAAAATGATGTGTGTCAATGTACATACCAGACGGAAAATGTGCATGTTGTTTCCCCTCCATCTCAATGGGAAATATCAGACCCAGTGATGATTGTTTAATCCCTATGTAACCTAATACTTATTTTTAATCACAATTAATTATGTTTAGATATCGATTCGGAATGACTAAAGGATATATTATTGCCTTATTATTTTTTACATATTACAAAGAAAAAACAACATAATTTAAAATACCATATCATTATTTAACATACACCGAATTCTACAAACAACAAAATACATAATTTAAAAATACATGACATCTTTTAAAATATTCCAAACATGTTCGTATAGAAAATCAACCCCATTATTTACGTTTCTATATTGCAGCCTAGCCACCTGCAAAATTACTTTTTCATCTTCATTGAATAATTCGTTGTCTATCTTGTGATAAATTTTGTTAAACATCTTCACCTTTGATCTTATATCTTTAAACTTACTCTTGACTTCTTCTATCTAATACTTTCTACGAGATAACTGATAGTGAAACATATTTTTCAAACGGGTCCTAAGTGATCCATACATAAAATATGGGAGACCAGTGACAACAATATCATCCTCAATGATTATCCAAGACCGAACAAGGGTGGTCTCTTCTTCTGAAGTCCATGGCAATGGTTAATTTGTTGTCATTCCGGAGTTGTATAAGTATATTGAATGTCACTCTTATTTATGGTGGATCATGAACATTAAATGTCACACAATCTGGACTGACATTCTAGACTACCATGTTAGTCGTATAACAACATTGCACACACTCCAATACAGAGATTCCGGACATAACATTACAGACACAATTTGTAAGTTAAAACATCACGCTATTAATATGCATCTATCATCCACTACGTAACCAATTCTAAATGAAGTACATTAGAAAAGTAATCACATGAGAATGAGTTCATCTGAATTTGGTGTTTCACATTGTGAAGAAGAAGATTGTTATGTTTGTTTGGATATCAACCCATTTCTTAAAGGCCCAAATTTCCTGCTCCCAGATAAAATGTCCGATGACATTTTCCAAACAATGATGGACGTCGAAGAAGCAAACATAAGGGACTCTAAAATGAGTCGAAAACTCAATCAACGTTTAGGAGATCTAGTAGAACAAGTAAATGAAAAAGAAAAATGGGTAGTTGAAACTTAGAAAAAACTTGAAGAGGTTGAGAAGTAGATTCGAAATGCAAATGTGGAGATTGATAAGCTTCGGGCAGAACGAAACCGTCTTACAGATGTTGTTACATTAGTGGAGATTTTATCGACTGCGAACAAAATATGTATCCCCTTATAATTTCAAATTTTGTGGAAACCAATTTAAGTATGTAATAGCTTTTGTAACGTTCGTTTAGTTAATATGAATGAAAAGTACTGCCTTTTAAGAAAACCATACAATTTCTTTTACATATTCATGTTTAGAATAACATTACGTTATCTAAAATTAGAGTTTATTTCCAGGATAACTGGGAACTTGCATGCATTGCAAACTAGCAATGTCTATATGATTTTTAAACAAATCTATGTATGTCTTAATTAGGCAGAACACATTATCAGTCAATTGCACTTGTTCTTCTATTGTTGCACTTGTCCTACATTCTTCTTTGATGATTTCCAATGTGTTCACAAACCGTCTTATATCTCCAAACATCTTAACAAGGAGCATTTGCATATTATACAACGCTATTTTTCTATCTCCTCCGCCGCAGAAGGCGGTTACGGGATTTACAATATTATCATTCTCTCTAACGCAATCATATCAACAAGACCATGCTAGTCGTCCTCAAGGCGTAATATTTCATATTTTATTGGCAACGCATATTCATCACTCGACTCACTGGATGTGGAAGACTGTGATTAAAAATATAAAAAAACGTATTATAAAAATGAATAGTTCCAAAAATAAAACCAAACATAATAAAACGTATCCATAACAAAAATTATAAAATGTCGACTAGTCTCAGGTTTGTCTAAACTTGCTCCAGTCCCATCTTCAGGAGTTTTATCTTCTTTCAATTTAAGCTTTAACATCCTCTAATTTCCTTCTTAATTTTATGGATGTTGTTGGTGGTTTAGTGTCTTTATTTATTTATTTATTTATTTAATCTATTTCAACATCTACTTTTTTTATATGCAAAAACAATCCAACAAAATTTAATATTTAAATATAGTACCATAAAAAAACAAATATTTATAACAAAATTTTTAATTAAAGTTTACATTAATCGGTCCCAATTCTGAAAGCTCATGTAGATGGTAAATAATTTTTTCATCCGTAAAACTCACTTTTTTTTAACAACATCTACGCAAATAGATCTTCGAATGAACTAGTTCTTATTTAGGACTAATACAGGGTATTGGTTTATTGCAAATCAATTTACAAATAATTTAACAATATCATAAACGAAAAAAAAAATACTTATTAAACTACATTCCAGACTAACATTTCAAATATGATCTTCGTATTCTGGATATTTCGGATTACGTTCTTCGTATTTTGGATTGCAAGTACCATTCCAAAATTACTTTAAATGGGTAATCTAGAGTTATTTCTACTCTAATGAGTGATACTAACACATTTTAAGGTATCTATATGGTCATAATAGCTCACAGTAGAACTATATTGGTTTGTTGAATCCTTGATAGAAAATGCTAAAAATCTTTGAAATTTTGGTAGCAACAACTTCGGAATATCACAATGTCCGGAATGTTGATTTCGATTTTGATGTGTGGGCCCATATATATAACATTGAACTACAGTAGTGGATTTGACCCGTTTTGGCTTGTTCCGAAATGACCATTTTGGAGAAAGTGTTTTTTTTAAATGTGGTTATTATTTAAAAAAAACACCCCAAAATACGGTTAGATTACTTAATTCCTATTTAATAATTTGCATAAAATCATGGTTTATTTGTTCAAATTCAAATTATGTATCAATTTATGAAACCGATTAATGACTATCCTGTTAATTTCCATATTAAAAAAAAAGCTTTATATGCTATCTTTTTCATTAGCAGTGCTGCAGTGATAAATCTTTTTTTTTTTGTCATCTTGTTCGCCTTTCATAAATATACGTAACAGTTACATTATCAAAGTATGCACATGGTTCAATAGAACAAGAGTTGAATGAGCTGGAATATGAAATTGACATATAATAAATTAAACACAATCATACTAAGATATTAAGATGTCAACTTGCATACAATAAATTTAGAGTTGAAAGAGAAAATATGATGTTGATGAAGTTCATTGAACTTTATAAGTATGCTCCTTAGTTAATACTTAATAATACATTAAGTGGTTGATCCATGTTAACAATAATGCATCCATGCGACCATGCCGATGGATTGATTGGGTGTCCGTTTTCAGGTCGACGTGGAAGTTATCACCGAAGTTGGATTAAAACAAAGTCACACGCTTAAACTGTCAAAATTACACTGAAGCCCCTCAAGTTTCCCCCTATGCAAAAATAGATCAAGAAAGTAAATCCATCATATCATCTTTTGGAACACTAACTTCTGTTAACGATTCATGAAGAAAATGCTATCAAAGTATCAACAGAAACTTACCTCATCCCCTAATGGTAAAACTTCATTACTTTAAGGATTCAAAAAGTTATTTTCAAAGTCAAAAGGGGGGTCAGATGAATAAGTTAATGACAATTCTAAAAGGGGTCTAATTGTAACAATAATAAACCAAATTAGAACATTTTAACGAGTACTCATAGGTCTCTTTCTTGGTCATAAACTGAAAGTGTCAAGTTGGTTTTTTTGTTGGTTGTCTTTGATCCTCCTACTTTGTATATTTAGCATCTTCTTCCTATTTCAAAATTATACATAGTTTTCTTCCCATAACACCAAGCAAAAAAAGAGAAAGCCATGGGAAGAAAGCTTGATGCTCTCCTTGGCCGGAAATTCAAAATCTCAAAGCTTAAAACCACCATAAACCTCGCCATCTCCCGCCTCTCACTCTTAAAAAGCAACCGCCTTGCAAGATTCACAATCACCCTCTCCGATGTCATCCAACTCCTCCGCCTTAACCACCACCAACAAGCCCTTCTTCGGGTATTCCTCAAATCTGTCTATCTATTTATCTGTATGTTTATCTATCCGTCTATATGTTTATCTATCTATCTATATGTCTATAACGAAGCTGGTTTTTTTGAACCGTGAAAATATAACAATTTTTTTTTTAAATAATGGTGTAAATATGACAGATTGAGCAAGTGATCAAAGACCAAAACATGTTGGATGTGTATGACATGATACATACCTATTGCCATCTCCTCATGCAAATGATCAACCTCGTAGACCAAGTCAAGTATGTTTTTTTTTTTTTATTCTTTTCTCATCTTCCCCACTTTTGATAAAGGAAACAAAAATGTTTTAGGGACATATTTAAAAGAAAGTGTTTTTTATTCCATAGTGAATGTCCAAAAGAATTGGAAGATGCAGTATCAAATCTATTATATGCAGCTCCAAGATGTGGGGAGTTTCCAGAACTTCAAGAGATTCGTGCGATTTTAACAAGGCGTTTTGGAAAGGAATTCGCTAATGATGCTAGCGAGTTACGAAGAAATTGTGGAGTTAGTCAAAAGGTTAGATTTATAAGAAAATTGATAGTCATTTTTTATATAATACGAAGGTTTTGTTACTTTAATTATTAAAGAATATTTTATGGTTTTAGATGATACAAAAACTGTCACCCGGGCAATCGACTTTAGAGTGCAGAATGAAGATGCTTATGGGCATTGCCAAAGATAATGGTGTAATTTTGCAATTAGAGATATCTTCTTCCGAAACAAGAAAGGTTTGTAGAGAAATGTATCTAAATTAATAAATTTCATTAAAAAATGTTAAAATTTGAATTTATGGTTGCAGGAGAAAGTGGTGGAGAAAAAGAAAATTAAAAAGAAATTAAGTTTTTTTAAGTCGAAAAGTTATAGAAATGCAGCACAAGATGCTTTTGAATCAGCGGCTTATGCATCAGCTGCCGCCAGAACAGCTGTGGAACTAGCTCGCTCAGAGTCGTTTGTTTCAAATGGTTCAGATTCAGATTCAGACAAACATAAATTATTTTATCCTACTAAAGATTATAATATTTCAGAAGTACAATAAGTAAAAGTAGAAAATAAGATAAATTCTTCGATGATATGTATAGGCAATAACATGTGGAAATAGTGTATAGTTTTTATTTTTTTGAAGGGTTTCTTTCATTTATGGAGGTAATTAAATGCTTTTTGGTATCTAAAAACATAAGAAAGTTTACAATTTTGTATTTTGTTGAAATTCAAGATGTTTTGTAAAGCTTGAAATAGAAAATACTCAACATTGCATTTTATTATTATTATTTAGGTTTATAATATTTAATTTTTCATACAAGATACTCAAATCCAATACTATAAGAGTTAAATTCAAAACCAAAATTGAAAATAAGTACTTGATTTATCTTTCATATTTAAATATATATTAGTTTGTTTAATACTCAATAAAAGACAAGAATCTGAAATGTTTTTGCGAGATGTGTTTGGTATCATATTTCAAATGCTGAGCGTTTTTTTTTAATAATTGATGGTGGTTCATATATTTGTACGTTTTACATAGAAAATACCATTTTATAGTCAAACGTGGTGACATTAAATCATATATATTTAACTATATAAAAATGCACTATATGCCAATTGCCAAATCTAGACAAAAATATTTGTACTAGTCTCATAGCTAGACCTGTCAATGGGGCGGGTTTGGAGCAAATCACCCTTGATCCAAACCCGTTTAAAAAAATAAAAACATGACCCGTCCCGCTCCAATAACCCTCAGGGTCTTGAATAGTCGAATCCATACCCGTATCCACCGGATCAACGAATACCCGACCCATTAACCCGACCTTTTTTCAATATTAAATTTTCATAATTTTTATGTGTTCCACAAAGTAATATTTCTCAAAAAGATAAACTGTCTACTTAAACAAGATGTAGATTAATTAATACTCAAAGTCCAATACAATAAAAATGACATTTTACTTGGACATCGAGTTGTATATTTTGTTGTCATATATATATATATATATATATATATATATATATATATATATATATATATATATATATATATATAACGGGGCGGGTTATAAGTGGAGCGGATCGACAATGCTCCATATCCGACCCATTTATTAAAAGGGTAAATGGGTATGGATCGTAAACGGGTAAACGAATCGAAAATTAAAATCCAAACCCATAAAATTCTTACGGGTTTGGAGCGAATCAGGGTCAAAACCCGCCCCATTGACAGGTCTACTCATAGCTATAGATCTGTTATTATACATGGTTATATTTATATGACTAGGTTTAAATATAACTGATATCTATTATGTTATTGTGTAATTCAATCCTGATCATTAAATTAATAAAAAATACAATCATTCTTGAAAAATACCATTACATTTATTATTATTTTTTAAAAAAATTCAAAATTCGAAAACGTCTTACGGGTAATATTGATATTTTATGTATCCATATTTTAGGCAACAACATAAAAAAAATCCATATTTTTTGGAATTGGTTTATTTATTTATTTATTATTATTTTTATTTTTTTAGTAAAAAACACCATTTTTAGGAGAAATGTTTTTTTTAATAAACATTCTTGATAGAATACGTTTTAATTCTTAAAAGAATGTGATTTTTAAGAAATAAATTCTTAAAGAAAAATTCACTGAAAATATATAAAAGGACTAACAAACTCCTGAAAGGATTACATCAAAAACAAAAAGATTTTATTAATATCCATCTTTTAAAATGGATACATTCTTGAAAGAATTACATCAAAAACCAACACAATCTTGAAAGAATTACATCAAAAACCAACACAATCTTGAAAGAATTACATAAAAATTTGATAATTACATCAAAAGCTTACACATCCATGAAAAAATACAAAAAAAAAGGAAACACGTTCTTGAGAGAATGTAGTCTTGAAGAATAACAGAGAAAGAAGAGGATGATATGGTGGGTGGTCGTTTGACATTAGCCAGTTGAATTCTCTTTGTATCTTCAAGAATTTGGATTTCAAATTTTCTTTCAAACATATGTCCTGCAACATAAATAGACACCAAAGAATCAAAGCTCAAACATAAATATATACAATCTTTTTAAATCGATTCAATTTTCACGAACTGGAAATAGAAAAACAAATCGTGATACAATAGAAAAAAATTTAACCATTATCATACATAATGTGTTTATCACAGACATTCGATTTCTTTTTATGCTTCCATCAAATTGTTCATTTATTCTAATAATCTGTCAAGATGAAACACATGACTCACATATTTATATGATAAAATAAGCGAGTAAGTTTGCAATAAAGAAATGAATTGTTGATTGAAAAAATATTAGCCACACACTCATAAATATGACAAATTACGTGGTACAACAACAATGTAAGAAATAAATAAATAAATATAACAAAAAAATTTCATCTCATCACCAATATTTGAAACAAAACAAATAAATCAGACTAACTTGTTAATACATGCGATTCTTGCATTTTTCTCTCAAAATTTGTTCCTTGATTGATGTAGCTGAAAGCAGCTACATAGACAATTTGTAACGAATTGTCAAACGCTTGAAAACCCGGGGCACTATCGTGTGCCTGACGAAACTAAAACCTGAGAAAACGTTTCTCAACTCTTGCTTTTATTAATTCAAGAACGTGAATCAGT